TTTGCTCCAGGGATAAGGCAGAGGAGCAGGGGCAGTGTGGGCCAGCAGCACCTGGAGGGGACTGCTGTGTCACCTGGGGTGCCCCGAGCTCTCAGCTCAGACTCATGCAGGGCTCAGTCTTTCCCTGCTTCTCGAAGCACAGGCTCTCCCAGCCCCTTTTCCTGAACTGTGAAGAGCCTGTGGCCCCAACCCAGCAAGACAAGTAGGATTTACTCCTACAGATCCAAGGGTTGTGTTGTTCTGGTGCTCGGGGAGAGGCTTGAGCAGGACAAGGCAAGGCAGGGAGGTGAGGAAGGAGTGTGGCTTCATCCCACTGCTCAGGGAGTCTGCAGTGATGGAGTGACCTGCTCATGGTCCTGCAGAAGCTAGGAGGGGCATCTGGGTCTGCTTGGTGTCAAACCCAACCCACCCCCGGCACAGCTGCCCTGCAAGGGCGTATTGAGAGAGCTTTGTGGTTCTTCAGGAGGGCACAGAGTGTACAGAATGTTGCAGAGATGCTCCTCTCCGTGCCTTGCGTTTTCCTATCAACAGTTAGGATTTTGCTGTGGGAAGAAAAACATTTTGGTTTTAGATTAATATTTGTGAAAATGTCTTTTGGGAAAAATTCCTCAGAGAGAGCCAGGACTTGGGTCAGCATTCGAAACTCATAAATTCAAAATGAGCTAATAAATTGTCATCGTGCTGTGTCAGCCTCGGGGAGATGAGGGTGCTCACAGCCGCCTGCCACCAGAGAAAGGCCCCTCCTGGTGCTGGGCTACAGCTCTTGGAGGTGGAGTGTGGTGGAGCTGGTCTTCTTTTGCCTTGGAAAATCCCTGCTTCAGCATGATTGAAGCCAGTAGCTGGTGATGATCTCCATGTGCTGTTGCCCTCCTGTCTGTGCTGAAGGGCAGAGGGCTCAGGGTGCAGGAGAGCTGTGGGGCTGTTCCTGCCAGCCAGGGTGTCCCTGTGCCTACTGAGACCACAGCATTGCTTCCCGTGCCCAGCAGACAGAAAAATCCAGGTTTTTTCAGATTTCTGTAGCCACTGTAGAAATAATCTCTATCCCCACCTCTGCACACAAGCACTGTGACTTCTGCTGTGCTTTCTGGGAGAGGTGCAAGCCAAAAGACGAAGAAAAAAGGAATCAGATCAGCAAAAACCTCTAATTTTTCCTGGCTCCAGCATGCAAAAGCACATAGAGTTTTTCCTGCTCTTTTCTGGAAAGTCTGTTCTGTACGTCAGGCAGGATCAGCACCACGCTGCCTTTTCTTCCTGGAGACAGGGAAGTGTTTGCCATGGCAACATGGCAGGCAGCATTTGGGCTGTGCAGGGGATCTCCTGGGCATTTATGGTTCTGTGAGCTGATGGAAGGCTCTGGAAGCAGTGGGGCTTCCTTGTGTCTCACCAGCCATCTCGCCTGTCCCTCTGTCACTCGTCCTCTCTGCTTGCAGGGTGTGGACAGTGCAGCCTGGCTTTGCATAGAATCCTGGAGTAGTTTGGGTTGGAAGGGACCTTAAAGACCATCTGATACAGCCCCCCTGCCATGGGCAGGGACACTTTCCACTGTCTCAGGTTGCTCCAAGCCCCGTCCAACCTGTCCTTGGACACTTGCAGGGCTGGGGCAGCCACAACCTGGATGGTGGGGTGAGAAATGGGAGCAGTGCTGGGAGCACTGCTGGGCTTTGCTGGGTGTCGTTGGGAGCTGTCTTTCCCTGGTGCCTCTGGAGCTTCACTGCCCCACAAAAATCTTAGCTTTGATCATGGCTTACAGACCTGGAGCTTCTTTCCTCCTGCCCCAGCCTGCACGGAGGCTCCTCTCTGCACTCTCCCCTCCATCTCCGGATGCTTTTCCCATTACTGTTCTGGCTGGGCTCCCTGCACCAAAAGGGCTGGGGAAGGCACAGACCAGTGCTACCCCCTCCCCTCCCCTCCCTGTTTGTGAGATGGGGGCAGAGCGGGCCCACAAATGACATAATGAGAGCATGACATCAGGCTTGGCAGCGGGGCCGGCCCTCCCCTGCCGAACATTATATGTTCCGTGGAATTAAGAAGCAAACAGCAGTGCACCAAAAAAAGCCTGCCCACCACAGTGCTGCAGAAATAACCCTGAGCTGGGCTCTGCAGGGCCTGTCTGAGCACCCTGGAGGGACAGAGCGAGGCACTGAGCCCTCTTGCTCACTTCCATCCTCGGTGCTCCTGTGTGAGGAGCTGGTGCTTGGTGCTCTGTACCCCACAAGTTCCCCGAGCCCATCAGCAGGAGGTCGGGCTGGTGGTGTCCTCACAGATCCATCCTCTCCAGGGAGGTGGACTGTGGTTATCCACAGCTCTGGAGAGGTTCAGGGATGCACCCAGCATCACACAGGGACTTGGTAGCACGACTGGGATGGAGCTGAAGGCTCCCAAGGCTCAGGTTGATGCCCTCATTACTAAATGTTCCCGTAACCAAAGTTTCACCTTCCTTGCACAACCAACTCCTTTGCCAGAAGGATTTTAAACCCTCCCTTTGCTAGGCTGGTCAGTGAAACGTGGCTGTGTTTGCTGGGGTGTTTGGGGAGCTGCAAGGGGAGCTCTGTAACACAGCTCTTGTCCTGTGCCATAGCTGGTGGTGGGTTTTGGTGCCCCGTATCTCACAGAACATGAGAAGCCTTCCAACCTCCTCTGGCACTGCACGACTCCAGTTTATGGGTGTGGAAACTGAGGCAGGACCAAGAAATTGTGACTTGTAGCTGCCCTTTTTCAGGCAGCACAGCCTATTCTCAAAATCCCCCCGGGGCACAGGAAACTACATTTTTCTTTCTCCTCCTGGGGAGGGCGTCAGGCTGCATGTGCAGAGCATGTCAATGGAGAGCCTTGTTTGCTGCTGGCTTCAGCTCTGCTTTGAACCTGCTCCCAATTTCCTCCAGCCTGGCAGTGGGCTGGGAAAATACAGTCGTGGCAGTTTGTGGCACCGCCAGGCTCAGCTCTGTCCCACAGCCTTTGCCTTGGCTTTTATTGCTCGGTATTTCCTGGTTTATTTCTTTGCTGCAGCCCAGCTTGGTTCACAGCCGCCTTTCCCATGCCAGGAAGGCATGATGTGATTTTCCACACAAGCAGGAGAGGGAGCAGTGGGAGAGGGCAGGCAGGCAGCTGGGAGCCCAGCTCCCTGACTGGTGACTGGAGGTGGCAGGCACTGGACCCACCACCATTCCTCAGCTCTCCCTGTCCTGTCAGCAGGAGCTCTGCTTCCCTTGCAGGCTCAGCACCAACGGGGTTGGGGAGGCCTCAAAAATTGGGTCCAACCATTCCCTCAGCACGCCAAGGCCACCAGTAACCTATGTCCCCAGGTGCCAGATCTGCACAGCTTTTAAACCCCTCCAGGGTTGGGGACTCCACTCCTGCCCTGGGCAGCTGTGCCAGGGCTGGACAGTCCTTTCTGTGAAGGAATTTTCCCAATATCCAACCTCAACCTCCCCTGGCACAACCTGAGGCCGTTCCCTCTCTTTCTGTCCCTTGTTCCCTGGGAGCAGAGCCCAAATCCCCCTGGCTCTCCCCTCCTGTCAGAGAGCTGCTGAGCCAGAAGGTCCCCCCTGAGCCTCCTTTTCTCCAGGCTGAGCCCCCCAAGCTCCCTCAGCTGCTCCTGCTGCTCCAGCCCCTTCCCCAGCTCCACTGTCCTTGCATTTCAGATAACTTTAACATTATTTAGTGAAGCTGACTGACCCCTGGGAGTCAAGGATTTGGGTCTTGGCTTCCCCTTATCTGAAGTTTTAGTTTCCTCTGAGATGGAATGGAAATAACAACAAAGGATGTTTGTAAAGGGCTGGGGACAGCGCTGGACCAACCCCTCCCACCTGGCATCATGGCAGAGGGATGGAGAAGAGCAGATCTGCCCTGCTGGAATCCTTCCCTTCCCAGCTGGGAAGCAGCAGGATGGGAGAGATGCAGGGAGGGCTTGGCACTGGGTGCCCCAAGGGTTTGGTGCCCATTGTGCCATCTTTGAGGTGAGAGCTTCCCCTGCCCTGTGTTCCCCCCTCCCTGCAGCCAAGCAGCACTTGGGAGAGGCTCTTGGAAATGGCAGAGCCCTGTTTTTGTAGCAGCTGAATGGTTTGTTTTGGAGGTTTTGCTTGTCTGGGCGAGGAACAGGAAGGCATCTGAACTGGAACACCATTTCCTTCAGTCGTGGACTTGAGGTGCTGCCTAAAACTAAATGGGTGATTTCCAGGTCTTTCAGAGGAGCAGGGGAATGTTTGTGCTGCTCTCCCTGTCAGGTAACTGGTTGGTGGTCTGGTCCTTTCCAGGACGGGGCAAGTACTGCAGGAAGGTGCAGGGCCAGAGGGGTACGAGGTACAGGGAATGCTCAAGGAGAAGTGGAGCCAAAGCCCCCTGAGGAGGGGTCTGTCCGGGCTGGCAGCAGCTGGGATTCCAGTCCGAGCTGTCTTGGGTGCTTGTCTTCCAAATGGGAGCTGGAAATGGGTTTGGGGGTGACTTTGGTGTCCCCTGTGCAGAATGTGCCCCCCAGTGGGCTGTGTCACTTCAGCCAAGGGTGCTCTGTGCTCTTCCACTGCTGCCCCGAGACAAAGATCACTGGTGTGATCAGATATTTTTGCTAACATTCTTTTTTCAGTGGATTTGTTGAGCTTTTAATTTGCACATTTCTTGGACTTCTGTATTGGTGTTGCTGGTGAACTCTTCTGAATCCACTCTCAGCTTGGCAAAGAGCTCCCAGACAGCAAAATCAGGGAAAATAAACCTTTTAGAGAGACATCCATCCCCATTACTTACCCCCAGAGTTTCCTGGAATCATACACAGTTTTCCTGCCAGTTTGGCAGAATTATTTTCATTTGGATAAGTGAAGTTTAAATGTCAGATCAAACCAAGGATTAATTGATTAAGGGATAAAAATAAGCAGTGAGACAGCCAGGGAAAGTGAGGAGAGGTGCTTGTAGGGTAAAAGGTGAGAAAGGAGGGAGCAGGACATGGTGTGTCCAGCCCTGTCTGCTCCCTGGAGCTCTGCTGGAGATCCAGGAAGGATAAGGACCATCACATGGGCTCAGAGTAAGTGTTTTGATGCTGCTAAAAGAAAGTTTAGGCCAAAGGAGGTTTGTCTGAAGCCAAAATGTGAAGTTTATTGGGAACAAGTGGAGACTGATCAGCGAAACTTTCACCTCTCTGAGTGACATTTAAAATTGGGAAAGAGGACAGGGGGGTGAGGAGAGAGCTGGGCTGGACAGGCTGGTTTGGTTTGGATGAGCTGGAGCTACTGGGAGCGAGCGGAGGTTTTTTTAAGCAGTGTTCCTTTTAGAAGGACAATCTGCCCTGATATCAAATGGAAAATATTCTTTGTTGCTTCTTCTTCCATTTTAAGCTTTTCTAAAGAGACAAAAAGATGTTTAAAACGTAGAATTGACGCATCAATTGTGTAATTACTTGATCAGGGCTTTGGCACGAGACGTGCTCTTGGAAGTTCCTCTTAAATTTTTCTTAAACTTAATTACTACTTCAGTCTAAATTATTTCTTAATGACTTCTTTGAACATATATTTGACCTGACTGTTTTTTAAAAGGATGCATCACGTTTAGTGCCACGTTTATCGTGGCTGTCATTGCTCCAGGTGGGGCACACAATGAGAGTCCTGATCTCTGTCTGCACATTACATGAGGAGCAAATGCTTTATGGTTGGGAAAGGTGTTTTCTTTGGCTGGGAAAAGTGCTCCGCTTCAACACACCAAACTTCCAGTTGGGAGCCTGGCTGGAGTTCGGAGAGAGGCTCTTCTAAGGTCTGGTGATGGGGATGTGACAAAACAGGGATGAACAAAGGCTGAAAATGGTGTTTTCTTTCCCTAGGGATCTTTCCAACAACAAGATCAGTGGTTTAGATGTTCAGCTATTCAGAAGCCTGACTTCGCTGGCAAAGCTGTGAGTACCCCTTGCCCCCCAGTCCTGCAGCCCCTCTGCAGGGCTGAGCTGGGCCCTGCCCATGTGCTGCTGTTTGTCACAGGTTACTTTGTTGGTGTTTGGCCTCCTCTGCTGAGCCCCAGATAGTGGTGTCCACAGCTCCCTCCTCAAGGCCTTCAGCTGCTCAGTGCAGTGATTTGCTAATTGGCATTGAGGGTTGGGCAGGATTTTGACCCTCTGTGCTGCTGGATGGAGAGGAGATCGAGGCCAGAGAATGAGAATTGTCACAAGATGTGTATTAGAGCATGGAAAATCACAGATTCCCAGAATGGGTTGGGCTGGGAGGGACCTTAAAGCCCATCCAGTGCCACCCCCTGCCATGGGCAGGGACACCTTCCCCTAGCCCAGGTTGCTCCAAGCCCCGTCCGACCTGGCCTTGGACACTCCCAGGGATGGAACAGCCACAGCTTCTCTGGGAAAACTCCACCAGGGCCTCCCCACCCTCCCAGGAAATGGTGACAAAGCTGCAGTGACCAGGAGGTGACTACAGACTTGATGAAGTTTCCTTTTCCCTCTTTTACAGAGATATAAGCCACAACCAGATTTCTACATTAGAAGATGGAATATTTGATAATTTATTTAATTTAAGTGAAATGTAAGTTCATTCGCTTTGTTTCCCAGTTCTTTTATTTAGGTCTTTTCTTGGAACAGCTCTTGCCTTCCTGGTGGGGTGGGATCTCTCAGGGAGATCTTGGGCATGTACCCAACCAAGCTGCTGCCTTTTGGGGTGTCTCCAGTCTCTCAGTCTGTGTCCTGCTCCTGGGTCCTGTTGTTGTCCTTCAAGCCTGATCTCTTCCTAGATTTGCTTCTGTCTCCTGGATAACTCCAACCTCTGCCACTGCCTTTTGTCTTCCCTGCTTCTCTCCCACAGCAGCTCTGCTGAGGTTCTTGTCTCTGACCATGCTCTGGGTCACACTTACTGTCCTGTCTGTGTGCTCACGCCTTGGGACCGGGGATCTGATGATTCTGCAACATGGTAGGTCCTGCCTGAGGTGTCCAAGGTACTTGAAGGTGGTGTCCCTCAGTCAGTCGATTATTTTAGGTTCTGTTTTTTAATTGAAGTAATGAAAGCTTTTGTTGTTATGTGGAGGGAGGCAAGGAGAAGCCACACATTTCCAGACAGATCCATGAAGTCACAGCAGTAGTGGCAGTTCTGTGTCTGAAGGAGCCAAAGGATTTACCCCTTGCAAACCCTCTTGGCAAGCAAGAGAAAAGCTCAGACCCACCTTCTCCCCGAGGAGGGGACACGAAGGGCATTCTCAGCTCTGCATTTTTGCTCTCAGGTGGCTCTAAAAGGCACAAAGGCCCTGGGCTGGGTCCCAGGGAGCCTGTCTCTGCTGGGCTGATGGCAAAGTGGTGCTTTCAGCCCCAGAGTCGTGGTTCAGCTCAGCCCTGATGGCGTCAGCTCCACACACAGCTTCCAGCTCCGTCCTGCTCGCAGCTGAGTGCCAAAGGCTGTAATTTGGATCAAGCTTAGCTGCAATTAAAGTTTCCATCTTTTCATTAAACTGCCACATGGAAAGATTATCATTGACTTTGCATTTCTTTTTTTGACAGATCAATTTTATTCTCTTAGCTATTTTTTAATGGAGCTGTAAATAGTCTTCCAGAGCAGGAGAGGCTCCCTCACATCCAGGGGCTGTTGGATGTCAGATTATTTTAGATATAAGATTGTGTCTGTCATTTGCTTCTAATTGCGACAATTATTTGTAGAGTTAAAAAAGTACTTGGAGTACTTGCCTAATTCTAGCCTCTAGAAAAATCACGTTAATTATTGCTTGATTCCCTATTCATTAACTCCCCTCCCAGTTATTCCAAAGCCTTTCAGTGGAGTGGCACAGATGGGAACAGGGAGGGCTCGGCACACTGCTGTAATTAACGCTTAGCACATGTCACACTAATCCCCAACTATTTCTGATCTCCCTCTGACAGAAACTTAAGTTGGAATCCATTTGTTTGTGACTGCAAACTGTCCTGGTTGCCCCGCTGGGTGGAAGACAGAAAAGTGAGAGTTCTTGAGGCGTCAGACACGAGATGTGCCCACCCCCCCGAGGTGGCAAACCTGTCCCTCTTCGACATCCCGTTCCCCAATGCCACCTGTGGTAAGGAAACCCTGGGGGTGGAGATGGTTAAACCAGGGGCAGTGATGGGCCCCGGGGCAGCTGGGCTCACATTGGCTTCTTTAGACCTCAAGTCACCAGTTGTAATGTAATTAAGCAAATACTGGGCACACAGGCTGTACCCTGGTGCCTCAGGGATCCAGTCGGTCACATCAGGGCTGGGATTAACTCTGATTACACACCAGGCATCAGGCAGCCAACACAGCACACTGGCTCAGTGACCTCCAGCCTCAGGCTTTCATTCTCTCACGGTTTCAACAGTGTGACTTTAAGCAGTGAAATGTCATGGGAGCTGATGGGACCTGGGCACGTGCTGGGTCTTTGCAGGTAACAGGAGTGTTGAATGAGCACTGCCCCGATCCACAGCTCGTCACCTGCTCCTGGGGCATTCTTCTGACAGCTTGGCCAGCAGAAACATCAGGCAGTGATTAACTGGAGGTGGAGAGGGGGAGCCCAAGGAAAACTAATGGTGCCTGGATGCTCAGCTATCCCTGAGTGAGGGAGAGGGAAGGAGAGTGCTCCCCACAGCAGGGATCAGGCACCTCCTTTAATTCATGACAGGAGGATGCAGGGATGAGGGACCTGGAGCTGTGTGACAGAAGAATACAGGGATGAGGTTGAGGGATCAGGAGCTGGTGGGAGCCAGTTGAACTGCCTGGTAAAGCACAGGCCTCCCCAGGAGCAAAATCTGGATTGTAGTTTCTCCTCTTTCCCCAGCAAAGCCACTCCAGCTTGCAGCATCTTGTAGGAATTATCAAAGGGAAAAACACTGGCACTGTTACTGCCCTTGATAATTACTTATTCCCTCTTGAACTACTTTAAACCAGGGTGGAAACAATAATGTGAGGCTGTCTTCTGGGTAATTCAGTGTAATGGGAGTAGGCTGGGACAGCCTGCCAGCTACTGACAGTTGTTACTGACCGGCAGGGAGTGAAGAATGACCAGGCTGGTGGTAAAAACAGAGTAGTTCCCATGCCGTGGTCCTCCTCGTGGGACTGCTCTTAGGAGAAGTGGCTCAGCATTCACAGGGAGGCTGTGGAGGAAGCTGGACAGTTGGATGGATTCGATCTGGGAAGATCACATGGAGCTGTTGAGATGTTTGGGGGAGATGTTGTAGCAACCAGCAGGAAGAGCAGAGCCAACGTGGCCGAGCTGCGTGGGCAGAGGCCGAGGGAGAGGCCCTGCCTGGGTGTTTGTGGCAGGGAAATGTCCCACCCCGTGCAAGCCAGAGAGGGGAAATTAAACTCAAGGGAATGGGCTGTCCCTCAGGGAATGGGGCTGTCGTGGCTGCCATTGCTCTCTGTGCTGTGTGTGCACGTGTGTTGGGGCACGTGTTGTTTCCGTGCATCCTCCCAATGTTTATCCTTCCACAGCTCTGGGTGCAGGCCGTGCCTGCCATTGCCCTCATCTCTAGCACCACGTTTTGCCTGCGGGTAGGTGGGAAGCTCTTGGCTCTCCCCAGGGAGGGAGGTGGCTGCAGGGTCTGCCCAATTCCACCATGGTCCTGGTGGAGAATCCATCAGTGTCTCCCCAAAGTCTCCGATGTGCCACTGCCCAAGGGTGTTTGATTATGGACTTGTTGCTGGCTGTCCCAGGCAGCACTTGGTGAAACAGGCTGCACCAGACCTGGGTACCACCAAGGGACAACCTTTTGTCATGGTCTCACTTGGTGGCGAGTCCTTGGGGCTCCTCTGAGTGTCAGACACAGCGGCTCCGTGTCCCATGGGACTGTCAGGCTCTCCAAAGCCTCGTTTTATTTACTGAGTGTAGCTACTCCATAAATCTGTGTGACTGGCTTGTTATTTCTGTCATCATTAATTAGCATAAAGAGTTTGGAAACTGTTGCTGAGGGATTAAAGACTTCCCAGGCAAGTCTCAGAAAGGAAATGCTCGGAGTAGGAGCTGCACAGGAGAATTCCATACCCGGGAGCGTGGGGTGGTGTCTCTTGAAGGGTCTCAGCAAACCATGGCTTCACAGTGTCAGTTTGCAAGAGGATCTTCTGTTCTGTCCCACAGGAGCTCAGTACATCACGTGTCTGACAAGCAACCACACGGAAGGGGCTGAACTTGTCGTCCTCTTCACGTCTGTCCACGCCGGGAACCTCAGCGAGGAGACCTGCAGTGCCCTGTGCTACGCCCAAGACCAGGAGTATGGAGGTTTCAGCTCCCTGGGGCAGTGTCTGTGTGGAACTGCCCATGAAACAAACTCTTCCTCTGGCTGTTTGCCATTTTGCACTGAGCATTTGTCCGGGCAGGGCTGTGGTGGCCCGTCACTCGTCCCCTCGCCCTTCCAGGCACAGCTGCCTGTGTCTTTCACAGGACTCCAGCCCCGGTACAGCCTACACCAGGCTGTGCTCTTCAATGTCAGTATTCCCATCGCTGTCAGCACTTTACTGTGGGAATTTGGGGACCAGACAGAGGTTCTCAACACCACTGGAAATGCAGCTGTGCACACGTATGCCTTACCCGGGCGGTACAATGTCACTGCCACCATCCTGGTGGGCACCAAGGTCTTGTACGAGCAGGCAGAAGTTGAGGTGGTGGCTTCACCCCAACAGCTGGAGCTGCAGTGTCCTTCCTTGGTCAAGACAAATGAGAGTCTGGACATCCAGATCCGCAACAGAGGCGGCACTGGCCTCGTGGTGCTGTACGGGATCACGCAGGCTGGAGAGCTGGGCAGGGGTAAGCAGGGCTGGCTGGGGGGTACTGGGCAAGGGAGGGGTGGCACTGCATCCCAGGCCTTCCCTTTGCCTCCCTCCCCAGTGAGGGATGGGAGGGGATGACTCCTTTGGGGCTCCCCTGGCTGGGCAGGCAGTGTTCTGCACTTCAGCAGCGGACGGGCTTTATTGGCTTCAGGGCCAGGATGTTCCTGGAGCCTCTCTTTCCAGATTGGCTTGGGACATGTGGCCCAGAGAAAGGACACCACGTTTGTGTTCTTTATGCAGCAGTTCACCCCATGTGCCCCCCCGATGGCTTGGTGTTCCCGGGCAATAACCACTGCTACCAGCTGGTGGTGGAAAAGGCGGAGTGGCTGGAGGCCCAGCGGCACTGCCAGGAGCACGACAATGGAGAGCTGGCTTTTGTCAGCAGCCCCGAGATCCAGAGCTTCTTGGTTGCTCGTGTCATCAGGTGAGTGAGGAGGGTAGGGGTCAGGATCACCTAGGGACAGGTTTGGCGTTCCAGGGGTCACATCTGCACAGGGGTCCGGAGGGAGGGTCCTACCGTGGTCCCGACTGAGTGTGGGAAGATGGTGAGAGTGAGGCTGCTGAACAAAGAGGAGGAGCCCTTTGAGCAGAGCAGAGCTTGAACCCTTGCTGGCCTTGGCTACTTTCCTTAAAGGCTGTGGAGGGAAGAAGAGGAATGGGGACAGAACGATTGAAAGTCACAATAGGGAATTGAGGATTGGTGGGCACTTGTACCCTGTGTTTGTGCCTGTGGGTGCCTCTGAAATGGTGCAAAGAGGTGCAGGGCCAGGAGTACACAGGGCTGGGCTGAGCACACCTTCCACTTGGGAGTGGCTGTACACTGAAAGAGAGTAGGTTTGGATTGGATATTTGGAAGAAATTCTTCCCTATGAGGATGGGGAGGCCCTGGCACAGGTTGCCCAGAGAAGCTGTGGCTGCCCCATCCCTGCAAGTGTCCAAGGCCAGGTTGGAGCAACCTGGGCTAGTGGAAGGTGTCCTTGCCCATTGCAGGGGGTGGAACTCGATGGTCTTGAAGGTCCCTCCCAAACCAAACTCTTCTGTGATTCCATGATTCTGTGAGTGCAGCAAAATCTACAGGCTCAGGCTGGACGGTGGAGAGGTCCAGGTGCTTGTGTCCTGAGGCTGACACGAGGGTGAGGATGACAGGAGGGCGAGGGTGACACAAGGGTGACATGAGGGTGATTGTGACCAGCTCCCTCCCTCAGCAGAACTGCAACTGGATTGTCCCATGTTGACACCATGGCATCGAGAGCTGCTGTAGGAAAGCCCAGGGCAGTGCTGCAGTCCTGCCTCCCAGACAGGATCCTGCACCTTTCCAGGCACAGCTGCAGCCTGAAGCCCAGACCCTTTTTTCCTTTTGTTTCTCATCCTGTTGACTCCTCTCTGAGTTTCAGGCTCCAGCAGCATCTGTTCCACCTCAGGACTGGGCTTTATAAACAGAGAGCACTGCAAGTGTCAGCCTTTGATTAAATCCGCCCCTCTGAGTGCCCTTTCCCCAGCCAGCCCTTTTGGGGGGGGAGGGAGGACAACCAGGAGAACTCTCAGGGCCTGACAGCCCTTGTCAGCACTCCCAGCTGCAGATGTGGGAGATGGGCTCTTCAAAAACACATCCCAGACAGCACAAGGAAGGGAACAGCTGCGTGTGACGTAGGCTTTGAATGGTCCTGCTCGAGGGCTGACAGCCCCTTCTTCCCAACCTTGTGTCCGAGCCCTGTTCCCTTCACACGGGGCTTTATCCTGAGATTGCAAACATGTGTTCCCTGCTCTGGGGCAGAGGAGGCTGTCCCTGTCCCGGGGTTAGGAGCTGGTCACTGGGTGCTCTGGTGTGTCAGGCGTTGCGTGCGGGGCTGACAGTGCACGGAAACCACGAGGGCTCTGAGCCGCCCAGGCTGTTCCCCAGCTGCTGCCCCACGCTGGTCTCCCCCAGCCCCCTTTATTGCCTGTGTTTATTTTATTAATCCATTCAGATAAACATGCAGGAGGCAGTTCCAGAATGCAGTTTCCCTGATGATAAAAGGCAAAGCGGCCGAGCTGCAGGTTTTTGGAACATGCAGCTTCCATAGCTTCTGATGGGAAAATGGTAGAAGCAGGAAGCTGTTTTCCATCAGAGCAGCAGCACCACTGTCCTCTCCTTCTCTCCTGATGTGGGATGGCCTCCCCAGGAGCAGCATGTGCTGAGTTAGTCTCTCTCTGCCTCCAGAAGCAGAGGGTGGAACCTTCTGGGGGAACCCAATTTCCCCTCTGGGTAGCACAGGGGACCCCTCTCCCATTCCAAGCCTCTTCAGGCTTGTTCTGCTCCTTCTGCCCCAGCAGGGTAGCTCGGTCCTTCCTCAGAGGCAGAGGGATTCTCACATCCTGCTTCAAAAAAGTGTGTTCAGAGTCCTCCTGTTCCTCCCTGCAAGGGAACGGGCCAGGCAGTGGGGCAGGATGGAAGCCAGCCAGCAGCTTCTCTTTTAGTTTCTCCCTTTTTTCTTTCCTTTTTTTTTTTTTCTTTTTGCAGTTAGGTCATAGCTGGAATTAGAAAAGGAAAATCTCCACTGAGTTTTCCTGATGGCAGCACGCAAGCAGTTTCCTACCCTGCTCTCCCTAATCCCCTGCCAGTGGTTTGGGAGCAGAACACAGCCCTTATTTACTTTTAAATCATATTTGCAGTGAAAACTACTGATTCACAGAACAGTTATTTTTGTCATCGTTTTTCAGCATGACCTCATGAATCATTTCATCTGGCGTGGGCCTGGGGGTGGAGAGACACCACTTATCTCCCCAGCCTGCTTTGCAGACCCATGGTACCACCCCAGGAGCACACTGGGGCAGGCAAGGTCATGGCAGGATTGATTGCAACTGCAGGAGGGAGTATGGAGAAGAAGCTGAGGGGTTAGAAGGGTGCAGGATGTTAATATGGAGAAGTTTATATGGAACAAGTGCCTCACTTTCTGCTGGGTACGATTAGAAACAGTTGTCCAGGCTGTCTGTGGCTATGAAAGACTGCTCAGCACTTCCCACCAGAATCTCTGCTGGGATTCAGCCAGTTTCCAAATGGGGAAGGGACATTTCATATTCCTAAAACAAGCCTGGCAGTTTTGTGTTTATGTGGGGTTCAGCTGCCTGCAGTGCTTTGCCTCTGCTTATCCACCCTGGCTGCTCCCTGGTGGCTGAGGAGCCGGTTGGCTCCAGGAGCTGCATCCAAGAGAACAGGAGCTGCCAGACCTGGCACCACTGAGCTTTGATCCTGCCCTGGTGCCCATTGCACTTGCAGTGGAGAATTGGCAAATCCCCCAGGTCTGCACAGATGAAGCATAAGTTTTCTGAGGGATTCAGCTTTCTCAGACAGTTCTGTTTGACCATAACATTCCTCTTAGGTCAGGACTCAAAACAGGCTCAGAAGAGTCTGTGAGGGTCATTTAAGCTGCAGTGTGGGCAGGTCATGGTAACAGAGTGCTCTGTTCCGAGGGGAGTGAGGTTCAAGTCAACCTGCTCATTACAGAATCATAGAATCATAAAATCACAGAATGATTTGGGTTGGAAGAACCTTAAAGCTCATCCAGTCCCACCCCCTGCCACAGGCAGGGACACCTTCCACTAGACCAAGTTGCTCCAAACCCTGTCTAACCTGGCCTTGGACACTTCCAGCTTCTCTGGGCAACCTGTGCCAGGGCCTCCCCACCCTCAGCAGGCTCGTGGGACAGAGGTGTGAGGGGCTGTTGGAGAGCAGTGGTGTGCTGTGGAGGGGCTGTTACTGAGGAGCCATGTTCTGGTGGCAGAACGGAAAGTTACTGAAACCCTTTAGGAACTAAAAGGCTCCATTAAATGCAGCCTGTGACACCCCCATGAAGCTGTTATTATTTTTAGAGAGAACCAGAGATGGCAGCTCTCCCAGCTCTTTCTAATACTCATGATTTCCTGAAATCCCCCCTCCCCCTTCATATTTTTTTTTGAAGGAGCCTCGATGTCTGGATTGGATTCAATGATTTTGCAAGCTCTGGAGCGCAGCAAAGAGGGGAAGGATTTAATCTGGAGAGCTGTCAGAACTGGCTGCCAGGAGAACCCCATCCCTCCAACGCTGACCATTGCGTCCGGATGGGCCCGACGGGCCAGTGCAACACCGACCTGTGCATGGCCAAGCACAGCTACGTCTGCGAGTACAAACCCAGAGGTGGGCTCTGCCTCCCCCCCGGCACTGGGGGCAGGCAGGTCACTGGCACATCCTGCTCTCAGGGACACGTGGCAAGGAAAAATAGGGTTTCATGGAGAGAGAGGGTCATCTAGAGCATCACCACAGAACAAGTAGGACTTGTAACAATATTCCCAGCAGAGGCTGATAGCTTCCAGAAACCCAACTTTAGCCCAAAGGGAAGAATTTGGCCTACTCCAGTCTTTCCCATCAGCAGAAGGAGGGAGAGGAGTGAAGCTTTGAGGCAGAACTCTGGAAATAGCTTTTCCCTGTTATTTGAGCAACCTCTGCTGCTGGCAGGAGGCCAGTGGTGATGCCTTGGTGACTTGGTGTCCTTCTGTGGCATCGTGTACTTTGTGAGACGTTGGGGCCTGATGACTTAAAAGGTGTGAGGTGGTGTGTGCTGTGCAGCTCTGTGTTTTTGCAGCTTCCCAAATATCCCAAAGCAGTGTAGGGAGAAATAAACAGTGTTAGAAGGGTCATGAAATATGGGAGAAGATTTAGGCCAGAAGGAAGAGCCGTCGCTAGGAAGAGGCCACTGACCCTGGTCAGAGGGGCAGCATCAGTCCCCAGAGCCTGATCAGAGGTGTTTGCTGCTGGTGGAAACCAGCTGGTCCTGCACACATTTCCCAGGAAGTCCAGGGGCACAGGGAATATGAGGGGTGCACCTCGTGCTCTAAAATTCGAAGCAAATAATTAGTTGTTGGAAAGGAGAAGTGTTTGCAAAGTTCCTAGAAGTCAAAATTGCTGTGAACGTGACTTGTGCAGGATGAGAAAGAAATCAAAACACGAGTAAGAAGAAGAAAGGAGGTACAGAGTTACAGAGCTGCTTCTCCAGCACAGCTGGAGTGACAAGGGGTCAGGTCCAAGCCCTGCTGCAGCTTTGCAGGGTGGAGGGAATGCCCCAGTCCTCGCTGGGTCTCATGGGCTTTGTTCAAATATCTCCTTTGTAAACAGGAGTTCTCCTAAATGCCGAAAACTTCTTTGAGGGCGACGCTGTGTTTGACACACCCGAGGCCGTGAGGAACCTGGCTGGAGCTGTGCTGTCAGAGCCATGGCAGGCTGAGCAGGTGAGAAGGGTTTGCTCACCCTACCTGTGCCCGGGGAGCCCAGGGAGACACAGGCAGGTGAGAGCTGTGTGTGTTTGGCAGGTGATGGAGTTCCCTGAGCTGGCATTCAGGCACGAGGGGTATCTGACTGCCCTGGAGTTTGTGACACAGGATCTGCATCAGCCCGTCCAAGTGAGGTTCCAGGTGCACAGGCCAATGGATGGAGAAGGTGAGACATCTCCTCAGTGCTTGTGGGGTTGTGGGAGGGGATGGCATCAGGGCCATGTGGCCCCTCTGGCTTCAAAGCTTTGACCTTAAAGGCTCAGAGATTTGATTCTGGTTTTTGAGGAGGTCAAAATGCAGGATCTGCAGGGAGGGTTGGACAGCCTGAGATTGCCTTGGAGAAGTGGTTATCCTGGAAAAAATAATAGAGGGAGAAACCTCTCTCCATGCATGAAGAGAATGTGAGTGAAAGGAGCGTGTGTAGAAGTTAATTAATCTTCTGAGCTGTACTTTTTTGCTTTGGGAAGACACATGTCAAATGGGAATGTGTTCTGGTCCATCTGGCCCCACGGGTTAACAAGGAAGAACATTTTCCTGAGCCCATTTCTTCCTGATGGATGAGATAATCTAAAAAGCCTTTTATTCCTTGTACAACAGCTCAACAGTCACAGTTTTGGCAACAATTAATTCTGCAGCAGAATGTTTGTTGTAGCCGTAGGGTTGGCTGGTTACAAAAGGATCTTTTTTGACACTGACAAGCTGATACTTTGACATGGAAACATTAACTTCAGAAAAGTTGCTTAATGTGTTTTCAAAGTCAGAGCCAGCTCTGCTTTCTCTTGGACTTGCTTTTGCTCAAGCACAGATCTCTTTTAGAGTGCAAATTGGTGTGTTCTCACTGGAAAAGAGACAGCTTTGGTTTTAATGATCTTTGTGAATTTTTCCAGTGAAACAAGGCACTTCAGTAGCACCAGCATGTGTTGCAGCTTCAGCTTTTACTAAGAGTGGAGCCATCATCTGAGTGGAAAAAATGGTGGATTTGGAGGAAAGAAGTGCAGCAGGAATGTTACTTGTGAGAATGGTGATCTCTGCTTTCTTTTTCACTTCTTCCAGACTATCAGGAGGGAAGCAATGCTACGGAACCATTCCATCCTGCTCAGGATGACGGGAACTGGACGCTGCTGGAATGTCCTCCTGGTTTCCAGTGGTGTCATTTGACTGATTTGTGCTCGTCCCACAACAACTGCTGCAACGCGACCGAGTGTGCCAACAACAGTTCCTTTGCCAGCAGCCCTGCCCCCGGGGCCCTGCAGCCCAACGACAGCCAACCCAGCTATGAACTCCACCAGGAATTTCTCTTTACAGTACCAGCTGGCCCCTCTTCCCAGTATCAGGTCAGTGTTTACACTAGCTGTTGTAACCAGTGGGTAGGTGGGGCAGTTTTCTCCTGAGGGCTTTGGGTAAATTTGAGTTGTGGCAGATGGAGACACTGAAGTCCACTGAAATGAAAGGATGTGCCCAGTGTCACACATGCCATGACATGGCTCTGAGCCAGGGGCTCCCTGTTGCCAAGCACAGTTGGTCAGAGGGGTCAAAAGAGGGTGGGGAGGCCCTGGCACAGGTTGCCCAGAGAAGCTGTGGCTGCCCCATCCCTGAAAGTGTCCAAGGCCAGGTTGGATGGGACTTGGAGCAACCTGGGGTAGTGGGAGGTGTCCCTGCCCATGACAGTGGGTGGAATGAGATGAGCTTTCAGGTCCCTTCCAAGCCAAACCTTTCTGTGGTTCCATGATTCTATGAAAAGGCCGTGCAAATTCCCTGGGCTGTTTCCATGGCATTAACACAGTGGAGATGGAGCATAAAGCTGATTTCAGTGTTGGCACGTTTTATTCAGAGTGGCCAAGGAGAACAGGGTGGAGAAAGGTCTCCTTGTGCTGTGTTTGGATCTGCAGCTTTTCTATTGGTTTCCCCTTGGCAGGACATCCAGCATCATGCCCAGGCAAGAGCTTGGTGCTGAGTGCTCCTAACGTGACGCATTAATCCAAAAATGTCTCCACTCTTTGCAGGTCTCACTCAGAAAAGAAAATATCTTTGTCAGGGCTGGGGATGTCTTCAGCATCCAGCACAATGCAGGCTCG